TGCCGAGCGGCTGAGCCCCTCTGCCGCCCGCCGCCCTGCGGGCTCTGCTGCTCGGAAAGCTGTGTCTCGGTCTCAGCAGGAGGGCTCAGGTACGGAAATTCCGGTCGGTCGAAGTTCTCCGGCGAGAAGTGACGCCTGCAGGAGTCACTGATAAACGTGCAACAAGCAGCTTGTCTACCGCTGTCTTTGTTAAACTTCCCTTTGTGCTGCAGTGGGTTCTGCTGCCGCCCGTGGGCGAGTCGCTGGTTCCTCGGCTCACCCTGGCCAGGGCAGGAAGCGGGAGCTCTGGTCCCGGCCCTGGTCCTGCTCCCACGCAGCCCCGCTAGTGCTGCCGAACTTGCTTCTAGGCAGGGTGTAACAGATGGAATTTCGCAGAGGCTGTCTTCTGAGACATTCGGATTGCGACTATCCGAACGCTTCTCCCAGGCCAGTGACAGGGCTTGACTCCACTGCACAAGGCAGTGCCAGTAGACGCGGACTGCCGTGACCCGCTGTCCTGCTGGGATGGATTCCTGTCGCGTGGCACATGCTGCTTTGAATTGCCTGTGCTCTGTGTGTAAAATTTCTATAGAACCCGGGCAAAGCTATGTGCGAAGTGTGCTAAAGACAATTTATTTGAAGATTTTATTTATTTTAGTTCTGAACTGGCTTCCCTCTGGGAAGGTTTCTTGGTTTTGAGTTTGCACTAAGAACTGCAGATTTATTTTCTTAATTACAAAAGTTTTAGTTGGTAAGGTAACAAAGCTATTTAAATAACGAAGCCCACTGTATGTTACAGAGGACTTATATGTGTTATGATAAAGATTTAATTAATTAAAACTGTGCATTTCCTGGGAACTTGACTTATCTCTGCTTAAGTGTAGTACAGTATAGCTCTTTGTATAGGAGGTTGGTTTCCAGATTTTTTTCACTTGTGGAATGTCCTAACATGCAGTTGAGATGTTGGCCTTTTATATATAAAACTGTGAAAAAAGTTTATTTAGTTTTATTTTTGTCAACTCACTGCAAATAGTGACATCCCATGGAGCTGCAGCCAACAGACTGAAAAATGAGTGTTAAAGATTGTTGTTCAAGGCACCAGTTTTATGATTTGAGACCTCTGATTGTTTGGGAAGGTGACTCTTTACACTGATCTGGAACAGAATCTAAATGCAATGTGCTACTTAACAGCAGTTATGAAGATAATAAATTCCTGAAAATTGTCCAATAGAATTGCTTTATAGGAGCAACAATATAACTTATATTGTTTAAAGAGATGATGGGAGAATGATATTTTTAAAAGTCAGGTTTGGAGACTAGTTTGGAAGGAGTAGGTCTTCCTGGTGATGAAAAAAACAAATTTTTAAGCTGATGCTAGAGTCTTGGAGAAATACTGGAATAATGCATTTTGCATTTCTTTTTATTGCTTCCTTCCCTCCAAGTAAGGCAGAAGTTTTTACTTTTTTTTTTTTTTAATTGTGTACCTTTTCTTGATTTGTTACTGAAGATCAGAACCATTCCAGGTATGTAAAGTGAGGATTGAAATTAACTTTAAATCATTGATTGAGTGAGAAGAGAGAAAGGAGTTGTTGTGCATCCTCAGACTACCCTGAAAGAAAGCTTGTAATTTACAGCGTGCTCTTGTGCTTTCTGGCAGCATCATTCCTAGTTCATGTATCTATTTCTTTTCTTGATGTCTGCTGCTGCTTTAAAACTTTGTTTCTGTCTTCCTGCTAACTCAGTCTCCTTGCCTTTTCCCACAAGCTAGTTTCAGAAATGTGCTATTTCTTTCTGATCTTTTTTCCTTCAAAAGATCCATGCTGTCTGCCACTTCTCACTCCTTGTTGTCTGCTCACTCTTAGCAGAGTTGTCTCTGGGAAAGGGAAACAGGAGGCAGTCTTCCAGGACAAGGTTGCTCTTAGTTGCAAGCAGCCTTGCAGTGAGAATGTGAAGCGATTCTGGCAGATCAGGAGGAGCAACCACAGACGCAACACAGCTTGATCCAGCTGGTATGGGTCTGTATTGTAGTGACAGCACAATACCAGGTGTAGATTATTACTGTCGTGGGAGTTAAAGGCCTGACAGGAGAGATTGTAACAGAAGTCTGGGGGTGAAACTTTTGATTCTGTTCCTTAAGGGATCTGGTCTGTGAAAGGAGCTGAAGAGGAACAGGCAATTCCACTCAGGATGACCGTGGTGGAAGGGGTTCTGGGTAAAGGACCTGCCATTTGCCAGTTCAGCTTGTCAGGAGCTGCTGGACTTTGAACATCCCTCTGAGACACGAATAAGATCCTACTGGGAAGATGATGGCTGACAGTAGGTGCCAGGGTGAACTTCAAGGTGGAGGAGTCAAACAGCCAGACATACTAACAGTGGGAACTGTTGTGCCCCCCAGGGGCGCATGCATGAAGTGCCTGCTAAGGGTTCAAAGATGGAATGTCTAGTTGGTACTGTTCACCTGCTCCTTTAAGCTTGCCCTGTTATGAGAAGAAAACTTGCACTACTTGCTCAGTTGTCTCATCTGCTCTGAGTCCATTGTCTGCCTCATTACAGCAGTGGACAAGATTGCCATTTCAGGGACGTTTCAGATTAATATTGCTAAAATGCCATCCTATGTAATCTTCACTAGCCAAAACAGCAGAACCGTTATCTGCTGGTAGCTGCCTTGTCTTATGTAGATGTGTATGGTTTGGTAAGGATTATTATGAGGTATAATAACAATACACTGATGAAGAGTAATGAAGCAACTTCAAGCATTCCTGTACATGTATGCCAGAACTGCCAGGCGCTCTAATTGTCACAGTACTTGTAATGGCAGCCTTCCAGTGCAGCTAGTTTGAGCTCTCCTTGTCCTCTCTTCAATACCTTCTCTCTACCACAGCTTGTGCAGTGGTGTTAACTCTGTTCCAATGATGCAGAGGGGTGGATTAGAAGCAAAATTTTGTAAAAGGAGAAGGAGAGGTTTTGTGGCTTAAGCACTGCCTGGGAGAACTGGATTCTTGTTTATCTCATGTATTTCCTTTGTGATACTAGATGCATTACTTCAGCTAGACTTGTCATAGGAAATCAGAGATTTTGTATCCCTTGTTTGCTGGGTACTTGCTCTAGTGGATTTTGAGTTCAAGAATCCTGAGTATTTACAAGTTCAGTCAAGGGAAACTAATGCCAAATATCTTGGAAATTGGTGTCCTTACTTGTAATCATGGTTAGTGTCTTGTCATTTGGTAGTGCTCTGGGAAAAGTGAAGCAGCATATCTTCTGAATAGGGCTGAGATACATGGAAGTATAGTAGATAGATGCTCTGTTGTAACATGTACAGAGAAGTCTGGATGATACAACGTCTCTACATGTTGGGGTTTTTTTTCTTCCAGGCTTCTCTGCAGACAGTTATGACTTTTCTCCATTGTAGGCACACTCAGTAATAGGCTTTTCCCTCTTGGGGAACCATGTTTTGCTCTGGATCTTTAATAGTGATCCTCTGTCAGCAGGTAGGGAACAGGGGCCTTCAGTTCTTCTAAGTCACAGTCAGAATTCTGCAAAATGGAGAGAGTGGGCTGCCTGTCTCTTGCACAAGGAAATTGTGTTAAGACTGTGCAGGACAAAGAGGACTAGGGGGTGGCAAGAGAGGAGATAAATATATATGGAAATTCACTGATATTTAACCATTTTTTTTCCCTTCCTCCCTTCCTTTTAACTTACAGATATCCTTGATTTACAGAAGGCATCCCAAAATGTTGTGTCGAGCTGCTCTGAGCCCTCTTGTCCGTTCCCCTGGATGGTGCTTTGTGTTATCGCCACATGCCATCGCAGCCATTTCCCGTTTATGTATGTATGAGAAAGCACATGTTTGTAATAATGTTGATCAGTATGTGTCTTGGCACACCTATTCTTCCTGTGTTGAAAGTAAAATCACCTCATTTACATCATTCAAAACCTATAATCTCTAGAGTGAGCTGCAGTTGAAGCTCTGCTTTCTTAATGTTATTTCCTCCCTTAATTCAGTAATAGTCAGCTGGTTGTCTGGGAGGGTGTGTTTTTCATTCTGATGTGCATTTCAAACAAAAAAAAAAATCAGTTGTGAAAGTACTGCTACTGTAAAAGTTCCTTATTTCAACCTCATACATTCCTGGAAAACAAGATCTGATTGTGCCTGTACCCCCATCTGCATTTTCAGCCTACAGATGTGTTGAGTAAAGCAAGGTGTAAAGCTCAAATTTGTTCGGATTAGATAAAAGTGGAAAGATGCCTACAGGAAACCTGAGTGGAAATACGTAGGTGCCCTGTAAACAGTTGTTCCCTGAAAATCTAACTTGAGAGAACCATTCACTATCTATTTGGTTAGTGCTCTGAAATAGAGAAGGCAGGGATAGATCAACTGTATTAGATCGAGATTTAACTGTTTACTGTTGCATGCAAAATAAATTTCCCATTGGTCTGTGTGTTAACAGTTCTCTTCTGTTGATATTTATATGAATTAATGAATGTTGAAATCTTAAAAATGCTACACTTGTTTTTTTCTATAGCTCTGTTGACTTCTGCATTTGCAGTATTTCTACATATTCTGCATTCTCCAAAGTCAGTAAACTACTCATGGTTAACACTGTGAAAATTATTCCTTAGTATTAACAGTAGTCAGTATACAGTATTGGAACAATTCTGGTTACTTCACCAGTTGCATTCTAAAGCTAGATTGGCATTTATCGCAGTTTTCTTTTATTCTGTACTGTTGCTGTTGTGATTGTGTTCAGCTTGTGTGTTTTGAAATTCTGCTTCCTTACTCAGAAGCAAGCTTCATGCACATTACCTAAAGGGATCTGCAGTGCCAAATACTTAAATCTTTTTCATATTTCACTTTCATTAATAAGGAAGTGAAACTGTTGATAAGGTACTGGATATAAACACTGGAATGCCTAGAAACCTATTTGTCCAAAAAGTTGCCTGGATGGCTCTATCAGTTTCTCCCTAACTGCATATAAGGCAAGTTAATGTGCTTGTATCACCAGAAATGTTTTGCTTACATAACATGGGAGCTGATATCTCAGTTGAATCTAAAATAACTCAAAATGGTAGGTTTATGCAGTCACAGAGCAAGGTTAGTAGTTAGGACTTAAGTGGAGATGAATGAAATTTTCTTCTTGTTCTGGAACCATTGCCTTTTTCCCTTTTTTTCTGAAAAACTAAGTGGGTTTTTTTTCAGATACTGGTTATCCCTCAACAGCTGCCACCTTGGAACCTTCTAAACCCTGAAGCTCTAACCAACAAAATGGGAAACAAATCGGTTTAACTCCTTTCTGGTCATACTGTGTGGGATAAGCGAATACTGTATAGTACTGTATAATGCTGGAAAGAACAGTTAAATTGGACTTTTTCAACTATTTTTCATATGTATTGTAGGCCTTATTTACATTCCCATGAATGTCCCCTCATGAAAATGACAGGCTAATGAAACTCCTCTCCAGATTTTATTTTCTACTTTTATATGCATGACATGTTAGTGCAGGCCTCAGTTAAGATTAATCATTTAAGCTTCTTCTGCATGTATAATGACAAAAGATTTGTTTACTTAAAACATTGTTAAATGACAAGTTTCTCTTTTCTGTAGCACTGTGTTCATCCAAGTCTTTCTCCAGCAGAAGAAACACCCAGAGTAGTCACTTCAGGTTATAAATTATTCTGTATTATAAAGTATCAAAATTAGAGAGACTGAACAGGTTAAATAAAATCGTATAACTCTGACCATGGCATAAGATTCAGTTTACTGATTTTTAAATAAGCCTCTACATCTTCAGAGGAGATACTGGTTAGGATTGACTAGAATAGAATATTTTCAGTTGGAGGGGATCTACAATGATCGTCTAGTCCATCTCCCTGGCCTCTTCAGGGCTGACCAGAAGTTAGAGCATGTTCTTAAGGGCATTGTCCAAATGTCTCTTCAACCCTGACAGGCTGGGGGCCTCGAGCCTCTATCCAGGAAGCCTGTTCCAGGGTTTGAACACCCTCTCGATAAAGAAATGCTCCCTTATGTCTGGTCTGAACCTCCCCTGGTGCATTCTGAGTCATTCCCAGGCGTCCCGTCCATGGGTGCCAGGGAGCAGAGCTCAGCACGTCCCTTTCCGCGTCCCCTCCTCAGGCAGCTGCAGAGAGCCCCAAGGCGGCCCCTCAGCCCCTTCTCCCCAGATGGGACCAACCCGGAGCCCTCAGCTGCCCCTGGCAGCACCCACCTCCCAGCCCCTCCCCAGCTGGGTTCCCCTCTTCAGGACACATTTGAGGCCCTTCACGTCATCCTCCAGCAGCGGGGCCCAGCCCCGCCACCAGCATTCCAGGCGAGGCCGCACCAGCGCTGGACATGGCGGGACAGTCCCCGCTTGGGCCGCTGGCCATGCCGGCGTGGATGCCCCTGGGATGCGGGTGGCCCTCTTGGGGCCGGGACAGGCTGCTGGCTCCTGCTGCGCTGCTGCCCTCCAGCACCCCCAGAGCCCTCTCTGCAGGACTCTCCCCAGCCACTCCTCTCCCAGTGGATACTTGTGCCCAGTGTTCCTCTGTCCCCCGGGCAGAATCCAGCGTTTGTTCTTGTTACGTTTCATGCCGTTGAGGATTGCCCAGTGCTCCAATCTATCTATGTCCTTCTGCAAGGCCTCTTGTTCCTCGAGAGAGTCAGCAGCACGTCCCAGTTTAGTATCATCAGTATATGTGCTAACAGTGCAATTGACTCCTGCATCCAGATCATCGGTAAAAATACTGAGTAATGCTGGTCCTAGGACTGAGCCTTGAGGAACACCACTGGGGAGCAGTCATCAGCCAGATGTAGCCCCATTCACTGCAGCCCCTTGAGCTCTGCTGTCCAGCCAGTTCTTCATCCAGTGCACCATGAATCTGCTCATCTCACAGTTGGACAACTTGTTTGGAAGGATGCTGTTAGGAAAAGTATGACAAGCCTCACTAAAATCCTGACAACTGCATCCATCACCTTCCCTTCATCCACTGGGTGGGTGACCTTATCATAGAAGGATATCAAATTAGTTAAACAGAACTTTCCCTTTGTGAACCCATGTTGATTGTGCCTGATGATTGCATTGTTCTTTAAATGCCTTTCAGTAGCATCCAGTATGATGATCTCCATATTTTTTCCATGAATGTGTGCCATCTTTTGACTAAGTTGCACTTTTGGCGCCACAGTGTAGCCTCAGTAGCTGTTTTTTCTGTAATTATGTCAGAGGTGTTATTCCTCTTTTTTGCTAGGCTGGTATTTTTGAGACTGTCTAAAAGTTGAGCTGGTTTAATGCAGTTTTAATGCAGTTTCTGAATAGTAATAGAATAAGAACTAAATGGAAGATAAGGAAATGTAGTTTCAAATTTTTTTTCATGTAAATGGCTTATCTATATTGTATTATCCAGTTGACACACTTGGACTATAGGTATCTGCACGACTCCTTTTTCAGGCACAATTCACTGTGGCTCTGCAAAACTTCATATGAAGTGTGTTGGAAGTGCTTTCCATCTGCCTTCATTCCTTCAGCTTAACTGTGGGACTGTATCTGTTTGGGTCCACTTCTTTGTCAGTTAGAAAGGATCCAGGCTGTTCCTTGTGACTGTACATTAATAGTCACTATGCTCTTTAATCTGCTGTGCTGATAGTGGTCTTACTGTCCTTTGCAGGCATTTTGAAAACAGATTTTGCTGAGAAATGTTCCCTAGCTCATTGATTTGGACAAAGTGCCAGCTTTCTGTATCTTGTATCTTACATGTGTAATGCTGTGATTGTCTATTGTCCCTCCAACAACTGTAGGAAGGAGACTTCCAGTTCATATGTCCATCATCCCCCTTCTACTGCCCCTGGTTGAGCAATGTGCAGAAGTACCCAACTCAGGGATGTTGTAAAACCTGTGTTTGTTTTCTTTCCTAACAGTCAAGGTTTCTGTGCTACGGCAGACAGGAAAGCTCTCTAGCTGTATCTAATGAAGCAAGGCAAAGGAGACTGTTTTCAAAACTAGTACTTCTGATGTGGGCTGTATGGGCTCTTCTACAGTGTTCTTCAGTTTGGTCTTCTAGATGCCCAGAGTCAAAGCTCTGTGACCATGCGATATTGCCTTGTATACTTTAGGGATGGTTACTGCTACTCGGATATCATTGGTTCTCACTTTATTTTGATGACTTGAAAGCTAGCCTTTCATTCCCAGTCACTGAGAAGCGTATTGTGAACTTCAGCCTTGGAAAGGGAGGAAATGTTACATGACTTCAGGGGCTTAAGGTCTAAATGAAACACTTAAGACTGCATTTTTCTCCCCCCCCCCCCCCCCCCCCCCCCCCCCCCCCCCCCCCCC